GAAGGAGCTACTCAATACATTTTGTAAGTGAATGGATAGATCACAGAATGAGTCACTTATACTACAGCCGAAGGACTCCTTTGTAGTATGACTTTTCTTGACATAGTGGCAGATCTGGTAAACATACATTTCTCTGGGATCCCATTGTTGTCCCTACCTATCCCAGTGCAGAAGGGACCACCCGCGGCATCACAGAAAGATGTCTGCACCAACATGTTGAGTGCCAACTGTCAGTTGTGTGGTCTTGCATGGTGAAAGATTAACTTTGGACCTCACCAAAACACTCAGTATGTATCATTTCAATCTGGACATGTTCTTTTAATCAGATGCTTGAGTTTTTCTTTCTCCACATAGCTAGCATCTCTCCAAACATACTTAGATGGTAAACTGTTTTCTTTGGCAAATTGATTAATGGGGACAATTACTCATATGCCTGATTGTGTGACGTTTCCAATAACATTGTCATTTTGTTTATGGAATGATCAGTAAAAATACTCAGGAATTCGCTACCAGGAGAAGGACCACCTGTCTGCTAGAAATGTTAATAAAGGAAAGGCCAAGGAGAACGCTAAGAATGACGTAATTCAGTCATCAGCCTCTGCCCCACAACTTCCTCCAAGCTTAGCACGAGCAGCTGTGGAAACGAGAACAGCTTTTCTGGTCACCTTAGCACTTTAGCTGACTGGGGACAGAGTTGCCCTGCAGGTACCTGGTCAAACTGCCCAAGGAGGGCAGAGCAGAGGCGCCGGTAGTGGCAAGCACTGTGTGAGTGGTAGGAGATGGAGGTCCAGATTGGGGGATAGAAACAAGAGAAACATGCACAGGAGAAAAGGGCCGGGAGGAAGAGAGCAGCAGGAAACACAACTGTGTGCCTGCAAATTGGGTAAGGGTAGCCAGCGCACTGATTCTGCCTGGGGGACTTCAGTGTGGCTAGAGAGGGACAGGGAGGATGGTGGCCATATATAGCTCCTATATACAGGAGCTATGGCTGGGAGGACAGGCAACAAGCACTTGTTTGGGCCGCACCTGCAGCAGCAAAACAGAGGATCAATAGATCCATGCCTTCTGGAGACGAGAGGCTACCTGAAGGAAACACATGAGAAGGCCTGAGGTTCTCCAAGATAAAACAAAACAAACTGGGGAAAATCTTTAAGGATTAGGGTGAAGATAACACTCCCACAACCTGCTGTCTTGAAAATAACAAAACACAACAGCAACAAAAATGGGAGGGCAAGGGCAAAGCTGCTCTGGATAGGGTAAGAAAGTTCAGGCAAAAGCGCCAAACCCTGAAGGAAAAGATCAACATTGCTTGCACCATCCCTAACTGCACTTGCGTCAGAAGCACAAGGCCATGTTGAACCTGAAACAAATGCCGTGTGAGAAGCTGATTTGAAGAAGGCCACATTCTGAGGAACTAAACAACTTTCCCTTCTAGTTTAGAAAAATGCCTAGAAACCAGAGCTCATGCATAAAAATGCACAAGGATACTCTATCCTCCTAGTAAAAAGAGGAAGGGGACCGTCACTACTTTTGTGTTTTGAATCTTATAATGGTGAAGGCAGCAGGGATGTCAGGAAAGGCTCTTAGAATGTTAAAGTTCCTATACATTATTAAATGAACCCAAGAAGAGCTAAACTGTAAAAAGTCTCCATTCTGACATTACTACCTTATTAGGGAAACAAGGTGTCTAAAGATCTAAAGAAACAAAAATAAGGAACGAAGCCTCAGTATTCGTGTGGGAAATAAGCACTTGGTCTATGCAAAGTCCTAAGGCCCACTATGTCACAGAGATTAAAAAAACAAGCAAATTAAAAGCAAAACTAAGGTTCATCCACCCCACAGAAAAAGCTGCTGAAGCCACTTTGGTGACTCCCCTGGCAGGGGGGACTGTGTCAGAAGGATGAGAATCTACTCGGACTTGTTTACAAAATAAGGATAAAAGGGTGCCTTTTGAGGCTTGTCTGAAATAAGTTTAGAATACAAACTTTTAAAGAGGTATTTCACACAGCAAGCAGAAAAAAAAGAGAAGAAGATTGGGCACATTTCTGCATAACAGAGACAAAACTGGCTACTAAGTGAAATTATGCTATTTAACTGTGTGTGTGTGTGTGTGTGTGTGTGTGCGCGTGAGCACACGCGTGTACCCAGGGCCTTCTCATTGAGCTACATCCCCAGCCCTTTATGATTTTTTCTTTTTGAGATTAGAGTCTTTTTTTTTTTTTTTTTTTTTTTGGTACCAGGGATCGAATTAGGGTCCTTGCCCTTGCAAGGCAGGCAGCAGAACCACTGAGCTAAGTCCCTGGCCCGAGATTAGGGTCTTGGTAGGTTGCCCAGGCTTCACCTGAACTTGTGACCCTCCTGCCTCAGCCTCCCAGCGTAATGGGATTACAGACATATGACTCCATGTCCTGCTGCTTTAACTTTTAGGAATCATGTGAGCCAGACCAACCATGCCCTCTCACAAAGAACTACCCTTGGTGACAGAAACTGTGATTCCCAGTGGCAATGTCTTTATTCCAGAGAGATAATAGTCACACATTTTTGAGAACTATTAGGTCATATTACTACTAATTTTATACTTTGTCACACAAAATATTAATCGCTGTTCCGATAACATTGCATTAACCGAAGAAGACTGACATTAATCACATTCAGATTTAAACAAATATTTCTGAAAACAATTCTCCATACAAGCAGAAAGATTTAAAGATGTATCCCAGCTGGGTGTGGTGGTGCACGCCTGTAATCCCAGCACTGGGGAGCCTGAGGCAGGAGAATCACTGTGAGTTTGAGACCAACCTGGGCTACACAGTGAGTTCCAGGTCAGTCTCACTACATAGTGAGACCCTGTCTCATAAAACAAACAAATAATACACAAATAAATAAAATAAAAATGTATCCCAGAATGGAAATCTTCATACACAGATGAGAGATGCTTTTTAGAGCCTTTTAAAATTAAAGGAACCACAGGCCAGGAATTTGGCTCAGTGGTTCCACTGCCTACCTTGCAAGCACAGGGCCCAGGTTCGATCCCCAATACCAAAATCAAACAAACAAAATTAAAGGAACCAAAACTATGATTTAAAAAGATTCTTGAGGCTCAGTAAATCCCATGCTTAGCATTCACAGGGCCCTGGGTTCAGTCCCTACCAGAAGAAAAACAAAAAAATAACACAAGGAGGTAAATGAGTCAAAAGAATAAGTAAAAATGTGTAACTATGATCCCATATAGAAAAACCAGAATGTCCAAAATATTACACAGCAATGCCAGAAGGAGATGAAGGGTTTATACCTAGTAATGGAGGGAGCACCTAACTAAAGGCAAGAAACACTGTGATGTCTCAGACTCTTGTAAATATTGTTTGTGTCCCTTTGAGAGTATCTTCAGGAACATAGGTATGCGTGATGGGATCTCAACAGTAAATTTTAGTTTCCATTTCCCCCCTCAGGAACGAGAAAGACTGAAACACAATTGGAACCCTTAAGGCTACTTTTAAAGGAAGAAAAGGTTCTGTTGCCCTTAGGAAATTTCCAGGTACCAAAGTACACTTTCTCCAGAACGGCCCAGGATTCCTCCTGACTTTTGGTCCCTTCAAAATGTCCGAGAGAGCAGCCGTGCCAGCTCTGTGTTCAGCAAAGTATACTGAGTTTATCCGAATGGATGTGGGAAGCAACCACTTCAGCAGTGAGTGTTAGTGGGAGAAGCTGCTTTTCTAAAACCAACTCTCCAAGCTGTAGATGCAGTTTAAGGTTTCTGACTGACTCTATACTGTGCAGCAGTAACTTCAAACCCCTTCAGATCTCACTTAGTAGAATAACATGTGCCAGGCCCATACGAGTCATTGCTTAAACCCTGAGAGAACTGTGAGCAAAGGCACCTAATCACCCATTCTTTCTTAAGTAATCTCCTATCCCCCTGCCCCGGTCCCAGCAATTATCCAGGTTCTACTTTGCTGATCGTCAAATGCTCAAAGATCCACCACAGCAATCAGATCTACAAAACCATACAGCCCTCTTTTCTCCTCCACATAAGCCTCATATTAGAATAGGTCATAGGCAAGAGAGGAAAAAAAAGAGTACATTCATACTAAAGTGTAGATGACTGGCCAGGCGTGGTGGCGCACACCTGTAATCCCAGCACTTGGGAGGCTGAGGCAGGAGGATCACTGTGAGTTTGAGACCAGCCTGAGCTACACAGTGAGTTCCAGGTCAGTCTGAACTACATAGTGAGACCCTGTCTCAAAACAAAAAGAAAAACAAAATAAAGTATAAATGACTAAGAGTGGTGCTTGGCTGGCTGCCTTGAACAAAAGCAGTTCAGTTTTAAGCCGCTACTCATTAGCTAAATAAATTTCCTATTATTTCCTCAAATGTGGACTCCACTCCTTATTCTTTTCTACTGGGTAAAATATATGTATGTCTTAAGAATAGCAGCGCTTTTTCAAGTAGTAGAGGGTAGTTGGAACAGCTGGTGTTGAATCTGAGTAGCAGCATTCAGTTTGGTGGTGAAGAGGAAGAGGTGGGGAAAAGTTTGAACATGGAAGGTTTTAGTTCCTTGAGCTTCATTTTCTCTTCCTTATTTTTATGCTGACTGGATCTGTTTTTTCTTCCCCGTCAACAGACTGTTTCATACTTCTTGGCTTTACTGACTTATTTTGCTCCTGCTGTCCAAGCTGCAGGCTGAGGTATGTGCTCGCCCTGAAAATGCTCCTTCAGAATCTTGCCTCTGAATTTTCTAACCAAGGCAGAGAGTAAGTAGGTACTGTGCTGTATGCAAATATACACATATTTCTCCGTGTAGGCCAAAAGGAGGGAGGCATGTTGCCAAATGCCTTCAGAACAAAAACAAACTTTTGAGATGGAATAGTTCATAGCATTATTGAAAATAAGCTTTCAGAAGACAGAAAAGTACAGAGGAATAGTTATCTATAAAGTAAGTTGGAAAAAAAAAGAGCCACACACAAAACAAAACATGGCTAATACTTCAACAGTGAACTCACCTCAAGCATTTCATGAATTTCACATGACCCGCCCACTTTTTCTCTGTACCTCTCAAGATTACCACATCAGCTGTAATAATACTCTGTTGTTCAAGCGCCATATTTGCATATCAACGTAGCTGTGGCATTCCTGAATGTAAAATATTGTAGTTTGCTGCCTCCTTTCTGATTTCAATTACAAGGTTAATTTGTGTTCCTCTGCCCTACTCTCCTAATCTCACGCCACCCCTTATCTCTCTCCAGCCAGTGTTTTTTTTTTTTTCCTTTGAGTAGTTTTTTCCTTTCCTTTCTCTTCTGTCATGAGGTGAACTATGCAAATTAATTCCGCAAACACTTCTACGTTTTAAAGTCTTTTTCACCAAGCACAGATGATCTCTTTGAAAAGATGAATGAGGGACAAAGAAGTAGGGAAGAGCCTTTTCTAGGACAACTCTCAGATACTTTCTTCCCCGAGTGTATGTTGTAAACTTAACACAAAGCGGTTTGTCTCTTTCTTGGTAGGCCTTTGGGGAAAAAAAAAAAGAGGATTTGCTGATTTTATTATAGACAGCTAAGTTAGGTAGAAATATTGTAGACAGTCAGGTAGGGATAAGCCCCCAGGAGAGTCAGGACAAAGGTAAAACAGTATTGCGACCATGGCCAGAGACACAACTGTGGGAGACCAGGCTGCAGGATAAAGACGAAATGACCAGGCCTGCACCCTTCCCCAAAGGACAAGGTAAGCGGTAACACCTGCCCTAGTAAAGTCTAGAGAGACATCAGTCACCCCAGTGGGTGACCAAGACCTCCAGACCCACCCTTTCCTAGAAAAACGTCTTTGTTCTTTCCATGTACACTTGTTATGTGACTTGTTCCCCCACTGTGTCGCAATTAAGCAACTATAATTGTAACCTCATTGGTTGTTCATTGTACCCAAGTGGTTTTTGCTCTATAAAACTTCCCCTGAAAAGTGGGGACCCTGGTCACCCACTCAGGACCCCTACTGCCTCTCAGGAGTTATCCTCTCGATAAACATTTCCTACTTTTACCCTCCATTGCCCCTAACATTCATTCTTTGATTTTTAGAGAACACAAACTCAGCGTATCAGACATCTATCAGGCTGGGAGACACAATATTTTCATCGTCTGTATCGACTCACGATTGTATTGGAGATGGGTTTAGCAAAACTTTCCATACCAGAATTACATCAGAAAATTTTCATTTCCAATGCAAGTGTGGAAACGGGTGGGGTGATTTTTAAATTTTTGTACTCATACATGCAAAGTCAGCCAGAGCCTAGCAAGCTATTTAAAGGAGCTTTCTTTCTCTCTGATGTTCCTCTGTACCCGAACAACCCATGAGGTCTAGGGCATGATTGTATTGGTTCTGTTTATACATCTGTCCCACCTTCTCCCTCTCTCTCTCCGCAGTACTGGGGATTGAACTCAGGGCTTTTTCATGGAACTACATCCTCAGCTCTTAAAAAAAAATAAATTCATCCAGGGTCTTGCTAAACTGTTCAGTTGGCCGTGCTGGACTCAAGCTTGCAATCCTCCTGCCCCTGCCTCCCACACTGCTGGGATTACAGACATGCTATTGATCTAGGGATGATCGAGGGGAAACAGATGTAACTCCTAACCTGTTAGATGTCTGATATGCCCAATTCATGTCCTTTAATATCAAAGAATGAATTTTAGGAACAACGGAGGTTAAGAGTAGAGTCGCCCCTGCCTGAGGACAAGAAGGGACCCGAGGTCACTTCAAAATCACGAGGTGGGCATATGGTGAGATAAAACTATGGTCAACCAATAAGATTACAAGTATAGTCACGTAGGTAATTTTTTTTTTTTTTGAGACAGGGTCTCCCTATGTAGTGAGACTGACCTGGAACTCACTATGTAGCCCAAGCTGGTCTCTTTACAGTGATCCTCCTGCCTCAGCCTCCCGAGTGCTGGGATTACAGGCGTGCGCCACCAGGCCTGGCTCACATAGGTAATACTGATCCAGTGGGGAAGCAAGTCTTGTAGCAGTGTGCAAGGAAAGAATAAGGGCCTTTCCTGGAAGGGATGGGTCAGGAGGTCCCCCACCTAAAGTGACTGATGCCTGTTTAGGGTATCAATCATTATTGTTCATCCCTTAGAGAAGTATGTAGGCGTAGTCATTCTGTCTTTATCTTGAGGTGCGGCCTCAATTGTGATGAGTTCTTATCTTCTGCACTGACTTCTCTGAGGGCCTAGCCCTGTCTGACTGCCTATATTTCTAACTATATTAGTTGTCTATAATGCTACCAAGACTGGCTGACCCCTGCGTTATGAGCCTAGAGGTGAGGAGGACAGGAGATGAATATAGGGAGGGAGGGAAATGAAGGCATAGAAGGTATGCAGACAAAGTGGGAGTGCACGCACACCAAATTGGGACATGACCACCAGAAACTGCAGCAGCAGAAGGGAGCACAGTGCACTACGGGCCAACAGTGTCTCTGTGTGGGTGTCTGGGAGACCACGAGCTGCGTGTGTGCGTGTGTGTATGTGCGCGTGTGTGTGTTAGGAGGGAGTGAAGGAAGGAGAAATGTATGCATTTTTCAGAAGGAATTGCATGCGTTGGAGGTTTCTTTTGAGAAGACAATATAGAAAGGAAGGATTGAGAACCATAGAGTATGCCCAGGATCCTGACCGCACATTCTTATAAATTTCCCCCATCCGCTAAAACAAAACTTTGCTGTGTTCATTTTTCCTTTGCCCCCAGCCTGCCTGATGCTTGGCTCCCTCTACCCACTAGAAACCTCCTGACTTCCTCCACACATATACTTCACATTTGACTGTAGTCTTTCTCACCATCTGCCCTGTTCAGAGAGTGATCTTATTCTCATGTGTGTATTTCCCTCTCCTCAATTACAGAGGATTTAATTTATAAAGCTAAAGTTCTCTCTTCCTCTTGTTTTCTCTCGCTCTCCCTCTTTGTTTACCAATTCTGAACACTTTCAGCACTTGTTTAACATATAATTGTACAGTACAATTCATAAGATTTTCTTCCCATTATGATGTCTTTCATGACATGATTAGGATTTTTATTTGCAGTGTTGAGGATGGAATTTATGCTTCAGACGTGCTACGAAGGTGCTGTATCATTGAGCTACATCCCCAGTCCAGAATTTTGTAAATTAAAATTGTCTCTTAAGTTAAAAAATTGCTGTGCTGGGCTGCGGATGTAGCTCAGAGTTCCGCTGCCTACCTCAAAAGTGCAAGGTCCCAAATTTCAATCCCTGGTACCAAAAAATAAAAATAAATAGATAAATATTGTTGCGCTCTCGCTCTCTCTCTCTCTCTCTCTCTCTCTGTCTCTTTCTCCTTGATGGTGTACTTGGGATTGAACCACTGATCATCAGTGTAGCCTTTGCACTGAGCTACATCTCAGCCTTTAAAAATTTTTTTTAAATTTTGAGGCAGGTACTCACTAAATTGACCAGGCTGGCCTTGAACTCGCCATCCTCCTGCCTCAGCCTACTAGATTGCTGGGATTAAGGTGTGTGCCACCACACCTGTGCCCCTCCTTTGGTTTTGGAGATAGAAGTCAGTTGGTTCTATCACTGAGCAAGACCTTCAGCCCTATGCTTTTTACATCGGGCAGATTTATTGTTTTTAAAATTATTAAATTTTATCCTATATAAAATTCCAAATGTGCAGAAACAAAGAAAATGATACAATGTATACCCCATACACAACACCACCAGATTTAATACATTTGCTTCACATCTTTAAAAGTTGTATACAGCTAACTCCCTAGGGCTCTCCTCATCCCACGCCTCTCTTTCCCTCCCTAGGGATAAGCACTTTCCCAAAGCAAGGGTGGGAAGGTGCAGAACACTGTGTGTGTGTGTGTGTGTGTGTGTGTGTGTGTGTGTTACACAATTCCTCTGCATGGTTTCCTCTTCATGGTTTTTAAGAGTTCATTGCATTGTTGAAAAGGTCTTAGTTCTCCCTTGGGGTGGGGTAGGGCTGGTAACTGAGCCCCAGAATTGCTCAAACACAGCATAAGCACGGCCTACCTAGGGCTCTTCTAAAGGGCAAAGGATGGAAGAGATGAGACCTTTTCTGCCTTTGCAAAGGTGTGAGCCCAGGGCTTGCAGAGGGCTGAATCCACTCAGTGTAGACACTTCCTACAAGGCAGATGGGATGCAAGAAGAAAGAGCAGCACAGAAACACTTGGCTGACCTGGGGAAAGGAAGGAACTTCTACTCTGAGGAAGCGGGTTTAGTAGTGGCAAGGGGGTTGAATTGAAGACACACTGCACCGCTGAGGAGGAAAGTGGCTTCACACAGCTTGTGCTCCTCTGATCTTCAGAAAAGACAGGGCTGGGAGAATCATACCATCATGAATGTGGGCTTGGGGGTTGGTGGTGTCCCCTGGCTGGACCTGAAAATCATTCCCAGCCTGTCAAGACATACTGCCAATCCCACAACCTGTCTGGGTGGCATTCACATAAGAAACTGACCTGCTTTTTAGTTCCTTAGAAGCACTGTGGATCCCACAGAGACCATTCAATTTGTCTGTTATTACTCCTCCCCAGTTTAGAGTTGCCAGATAAAAGAAAGGGTGCTCAACTACATTTGATTTTCAGATAAACAACAAATAAAATTTTAAGTAAAAGTACCTCTCAAATATTTCATTAGAATATACTTATTATACTAAGAGGGTATTTACTGTTTAAATATAAAAGTAACTATCCTGTATATTATTACTAAATCTGGGAGCTGTATCTCAGATGACTTTTGGAAAGTTAGCAAAACAATATTAAGAACCTTTGAAAAAGTGTGAGCCAAGGCTTCTCAGGAGTAACATCAATAACTGCTTTTCAGTTGTGCAACCATCGTCCAAATCAGTTTTAGAACATTTTCACCACCTCAAGACCAGTACCCATTAACAGTCATGCTCCCTCACCCCACTCCAATCAGCAACTTGGGACCTTGTTAAGGACTAATGAACTTTGACTCTATTAATGTGCCTGTGAACATTTCTTTGTAAATCCAATCATACAGTATGTGGCCTTCTGTGTTTGGCTTAACACACTGTTTTCAAGGTTTAAATGCATGATAGTGTGTATCTGTACTTAGTATTTTTTGAGACATAGTCTTCCTATGCCACCCAGGCTGGTCTTTTAACTCCCAGACCAAGAGATCCTCCCACCTCAGCCTCCTGACTGTATTTTATTCTTTCCAATGCTCAAATATTCCTTTACAGTATACATATATTCTACAATTGGCCCCATTCACCAACTAATGACATTTAGGTTGTTTCCACTTTTTGTCCATTATGAATTATACTACTAGGAGAGAATATTTTTGTACAAGTGTCTGCGTAATGGTAACCCTTTCATATTCTAAGGAATAGCAAAATTATTTTCCCAAAGAGCTTAACATTCTTATTAAAATAACAAAACCATCTGGAGTTCGCGTTTCCGCACAGTCTCACAAGAGGGCCTACTGCCAGGGTCCTACACTCCCTTTCCCGCAGCCGAGGGTTCCCTGAGCCAAAACATCAGACCCCGCGCTCTAATAAAAGCGCAGCTTCTGCCTCCAGCTCGGCCCCGCCTCCTGGTGCTTGCTGAACAGAAGAAAACCGACGCCCCCAGCAGAGGCCATATGGACGTTGTAGTTCTCTTTCCGCCCAGCTGCGCAGAAACTGCGGAAGTGAAACTACAATCCCCAGAATACCACTGCTCTACGGCGGCCTACGGGAGCCATTTCCGCATGCGGTACTCCCGCCCTCCCCGGTCTCGGCCGTTCTCCAGGGCGTCTGTAAACACCCCAGAGACTGTCATGGAGAGGGAGGCGGCGGCGGCGGCGGCGCAGGGAGGCGTTTTGGGCCACTTCCAGGGCCCGCGCTGCCATTCCTGAACCGGTCCCCGGACCCCGTGACTGTGGCATCAGAAAGCGAATTGTTAGGCAAGAAGAGGCGCAGTCAAAACCCTATCCCCTTCTTCCCGGGGCGGGGGCCGGGGCGGGGGCCGGGCCGGCCTGTCTGCCGAGATGGATGACAGTAAGGTAAGTCCTGAGGTTTGCACGCGCAGCTGCCGCCGCCGCCGCCACCACCACCGCCTGCTTGTCGCTAAGTGCTAGTCCCACCGCCGAGCCTCAGAGCTGAAGTCCATGGCAACACCCAAGAAACACCTGCCTTAGACATCCCTGCACCTCCCTAGTTACTGCCCGATGGTACCCATCCCGAACTCAGGGAACATCGGGGCTGCGTTTTCCCTGGAAGGGGCCTCTCTGGAAATTTTTCAGTCCCGACGGCCCTGTTTGCCAGCTTTCCCGGGGAGTACAAACCCTCGTCCTTGACCTGCCTATCGAGATAAGTTAAGAAACTACAGTGCCTTTTCTTTGGGCGCTCTCTTCTCCCTTCCCAGGCCGTCACCAGTTTTGCAGACCTGATCTAGCGCACCTTTAAACCAGCCCAGCTCCCCGTGACGATTTCCCTTTCTCTCAGGATTCCTCACTCAATGCCCCATTCATATAAGCTGTTCACTCCCCTTCTGAGCTATTTTCCTGTGGTTGGTTGGAACATTGCTAAGCTCCTGTTGCTATTTGGCCAGAGGCTGGATCTAAACTTCCTCTACAAAGCCTTCTCTAAGGAAAATGGTGAATTTCTTCTTGTGAATGTACCTTAATATTCATCTCTAGCCCGTTTTTCCTATCCAGTTCATCTAGATAATAGTGTGCATTATTGGCTAATTTATATAGCTAATCTTTTATAGACTATTCTTTCCGTGTTTATACCTGCCTACATTAGTGTTTCATTTTATTCCGTGAAGATGAGTCTAGGCGGAGATTTGCTTATTGATGTTTAAGAGTTGGACTTTTTCAACGGAATCAAACTTTAAAAATTTGCCAGTTTTTAAAGTAGAAATCATACCTTCCCGCTGCTTTTCGAAATCTGCTTCTTCACAATCTCTGGCACAATCCTTGAGAGCTTTTCTCTTTGTTTGAGTTCCTTTTTTCTTCTACCTAACCAGTAAAATTTTGCTGCTGCCTAATTTTTGTTTCATGCATCCTCAGAGAGATCTGAAACATTTCCAACTTCTCCTTCCTGCTTGTTTTAGTCTACGTTATCTCCTCTTTTTCACACAGAAGGCTCTGAGAAGAGTGATAGAAGGGAAAGCTCAGACCAGCATTCTGGAAGTGAGTGCCGATTGCTTGTAAAGTAGCAAATCCCTTGATATTTCTAAGACAGAAAGGGTGAGTTCTATAAGTTTTCCAGAAAATAATTTTCCATAAAATCTTTGCTAGCTAGATTTCTCCGGGTTAATTTTGAAATTAAATTATCTATCTATCTATCTATCTATCTATCTATCTATCTATCTGTCTATCTCAGGCTGGCCTTAAACTCACTATGTAGTCCAGGCTGGCCTCAAACTCATGGCAGTCCTGCCTCAGCCTCCCAAGTGCTGGGGTTACAAGCGTGAGTCTATCTCAGGCTGGCCTCAAACTCATGGCAGTCCTGCCTCAGCCTCCCAAGTGCTGGGGTTACAAGCGTGCATCACCATGCATGGCTAAACCTAAATACTGAACCCACTAGCCTCCCCAGAAAATAGTAATTTGTGGCTGTTTAAGGATGCTGAAAGAACACAGTGTTCCTTAACTTCTCAACTTGGGACTCTACCTTATTTTCAGTTGTATCCTTTTCAGACCTTTGAAGCATTTTAACAACTTTCTTAAAGTTTTCAGTAATCTCAAATTCAGTCCCAGAAAAGCACATGGGATTTTGATATTTACTTACCTGTAAAATCACAGGGGTTATTTCTAAAATTAGCAAATGGTAATGAGAGGGATGCAGAGTTTCATCTAGCAGTGTACCTCATAGAGTATAAGATACCGGTTAATCATGGTTGATTGGAACAGTGGTGACATTGAGAAGATTGCCCTGATGTGTCTGGGCTTCAGTAATCAGCGTGGGTCAGATGAAAAAAGCTGCCAGAGAAGTCACACAATAGCAAATGGGGAAAACAGGGAAGATAGACTGCACACCTAAAAAGAAGAGCTTTGGAAAGTACTAAGTAGCGGAGACAACTGTGGTCTACTAGAGTAGATGTCCTCCTACGCTAGATTTTTTTTTGGGGGGTAGGGGTACTGGGGATCAAACTTGGGACTTGCGCTTTTGAGGCAGGCAGACGCACACTGGGGGCCCATTGTTTATTTTGTTCTTTTTAGAAAGGGTCCCACTACATAATTCAGGCTAGCCTTGAATTCCCTATGCAGCCCAGGCCAGCCTTAGACTTGCAGCAATGCTGTGCTGGGACTACAGGCATGCCCTACCACACCCAGCCTCTGCTTCCATATCTTTTAAATAAGGCCATTACCTTCTTTGCAGGCTTTGGTGAGGATGAGAAATGAACATATTGCACCAGAAAATAAGTAGTTTTGTACAGTTAGAGGAAACTTTCTATAGAAGTCCAGATAGTAAATATTTGTGGGTCATGTGGTCTCTTGCAATTATTCACCCTCTATTATTCCTGTTGTATCATGAGATCAACCACAATGAATAGACATGGCTGTGTTCCAGTAAAACTTTATTTATAAAAACAGAAAGTAGTTTATATTTGGATTTCCAGCAGGATTTACTGACCTCTGAGCCTTGAGTAGAAATGTGGTCAGAGAGAAGGATAGAAAGATAGATAATCAGGATCCAGATAAGGATATGCTTGGTGAGGCTGGCTGCAAATTTGGGGTCAGTCTGTGTCAAGGTATAGAAGACAGCTACTGAATCAGAGTATCTGAGGATGTAGCCCAGGAACTTGAGTTTAACAGCTCCCCATTGAGTGGCTCATGTTCCCAATGAGGTTTGAAAACCAAGGCTACAGATGTTGAAGAACCACTGAAAGATTTTAAAGCAGAGGCAACAAAACCAGATTTGTGTGTTTTTTGTTGTTGTTTTGGTATCAGGGATCAAACTCTGGACCTTGCACTGGTGAGGCAGGAGGCAGCACCACTGAGCTAAATCCCTGGCCCTCAGATTTGTATTTTTGAGACAATAATTGAGTGAACTTACAGGAACTGGGAGAAGACTAGAGGCAGATGGTCCTGTTATAAAAAATGCACATTTTGGCACATGACCTGAGTTCAAATCTCATTTCTACCCTTTCCTATGATTCTGGACATTATTTAATCTCTTCATAATTTCCTTTCTTTACATATATGTTGAAGACCTTATTGAATTATATATATATATATATATATATATATATATA